TGAATTTATGTGTTTCTCTCACATCGATATTTCTCTCTGTCTTTCCCTTTCTCTCCCACTCTCTCTAAAAATCAATGGAAAAATATCCTTGGGTAAAGATTTAAAAAAAAAAAAGAGCCCAGCAAGCATGGCTCAGTGGTTGAGTGTCACATATGAACCGGGAGGTCACGGTTCAATTTCCGGTCAGGGCATTTATTTGTACTAATCTCAAATATCTGAATGCCCACCCAGGTGTTATGCTAGACAGTGAGTATATACAGTGGTGAGTAAACCATAATCCTGGACCTCAGTGAGTTCATTATCATATAGCAATGAAAGACAAATCACTGAACAACTAAAGTAAAAATGTGGAGGAAACCAAAAAAGATGAGTGTAGAATGCTATGGAAGCATATAACAAAGAAGCATTGCCCTAACCGCTTTGGCTCAATGGATGGAGCGTCGGCCTGCGGACTGAAAGGTCCCAGGTTCGATTCCGGTCAAGGGCATGTACCTTGGTTGTGGGCACATCCCCAGTAGGAGGTGTGCAGGAAGCAGCTGATCGATGTTTCTAACTCTCTATCCCTCTCTCTTCCTCTCTGTAAAAAGTCAATAAAAATATATTTTTTAAAAAAAGAAGCATTAAGACCTAACAGGGCCATTATACTTCACCTGGTGCTTACCTGGTATATATAAAACTCAAAAAAAGCAGTCCTGCAGCCACTAAGCAGATAAGACAAATACATTTCCTCAATTCTAAAATGCCTTAATATTACACTAAAATTTAAATAAAATTTAAACCAAATTCATTCAATATTTACTGGACATGTACTTCTAGCCAGTATTAGGGACTAATGACTGAATGAGATAGCCAACTGGTCCTTGCCCCTCAGATGGTTTGAGGCACAAATTAAAAAGTTATGCAAGTGACTAATTAAAATTTTAGTGAGTCCCACAGGGGAGAAGTAAAGCATAGGAGCAAAGTAACAAAAACCTAATCTGTCGAGAAGAAAATCAGATCCCTTCTGTATTCGCTTCCCTCCCTGGTCAGTTTAGTCAACTGTGGTCACTGCAGATATCCTGCATACCATTGCCCTTCTGAACAAGGAAAACCTACTATGATTGAACTTGGCTACCTGCTCTTTTCATACCTGTAACCAACACTTAACTGAAACCTTGACAGAAGTAATATAAAATATTTCCTATAACATTAGGAGTTTTAAAATATAAAATGTTTCCAGATAATGACTAGACACATTTTATAAGTTGGGTCTAAATCTCCCTATTCATTAGAGTGCTACATGTGAAAGTAGTTTTAAATATTTATTATTCTACATGTGAAATAATAGCTTTATTTTACAAGTGTTTATTGTTGTAATTTTGTTCTGATACAGTGGGGCCTTGACTTATGAGTTTAATTTGTTCTGTGACGGAGCTCATAACTCAAATTACTCGCATGTCAAATCTTAAAGTGAACAAGTGAGACACATGATGCTGGGCTGATGTTGTGGTGTTCACTGTCACGTTCGCTGCGCCAACTAGCGGTGGGGTATCTGAAGCTGGCTCGTAACCCGAATTTTAGCTCGCAACTCAAAGCAAAAAATCGGCCGAGAGACGGCTCATATTTAAAAAACTCGTTAGTCAGGACACTCGTAAGTCAAGGCCCCACTGTATTTTAAAAATTGCCTACAAATAGCCCTGGCTGTTTTGGCTCAGTGGATAGAGCATCGGCCTATGAACTGAAGTGTCCCAGGTTCAATTCTGGTCAAGGGCACATGCCTGGCTTACGTGCTCGATCTCTAGTGAAGGACATGCAGAAGGCAGCCGGTCAATGATTCTCTCTCATCATTGATGTTTCTATCTCTCTCCCTCTCCCTTCCTCTCTGAAATAAAAATATATGTAGTTTTAAAAAATTGCCTACAAATAAAAGTATATAGCTCTAACTTTATGGTAATTTTTGTGTGATGTTTATAACCTTTTTTCTCAATAACCATATAGGCACTGCTGGGTTAGGGTTGTTTTTTTTAGTTTTAATAAAATTCACTTTTTTTCCTTTTTCAGCTATTATTCATGGGTTATCCAGTCTAACATCTCATCAATTGAGAACTATATACATATGCCAGTTTTTGACACGAATTGCATCAGGAAAAGCCCTCGGTAAATATGTATTTTTATCTTATATTGGAAATATTTCAGTCTATGTCTAAAGGTAAGACAATGAGAAACAGATGGTGGGCCATCATTTGTTTTTGAGAGTTTGCCCATATGTATTTGTCATATACATATACACACAAGCATATCTAAAGCAAGTAAAAGAGATACAGTCCCCATCTTCTTAGAGTGGTAGCTCTCAAACTTGATACTGCTTCAGAAATATGAGAGAACTTGTTTTAAAAAAAGAAAGAAAGAATGCTGAATCCCCTTTCCCTCCATGAGTTTCGGATTCAGTGGGATGGGTGAGGGGCCCTGGAGTTATGTTTCTTGTAAGTTCCCAGGTGATTCTGATCCTGCTACTGTGGTCCCACACTTCACAGACTCTACCTTGGAGATTTTAATTTAAGTTTGTATGGTAACTTTTGAGGTGACTTTTCCTGTCAGTCACACTGTTTTGTTTTACCAGCACTATGATATTTGAAGCCTCTTGAACTTGATTTCAGCAATTATCTATGTAAGCCGATTTCTAACTATAATATCTCTTGCTTGTCCCCAGAGTTCATTTTAGATTGGAATGGGCATGCCTGATTCAGATTATCAGTAATGGCTGATATTACAACATGGTCATTTAAAGGGCCTTTTGATTATAGTGAAGGTTCTGAGTGTCACATTGAGATTTTGTATGTAATTTGCTAAGTAGTTACCAGCCACTGTGAGTCTTTGATCAGAAAAACCTGATCAAACTTCTGTTTTAAGAAAGTTTAACAGTAATAAAAATACTATCTCATTAAATATTCACATAAATCCTATGAGATAGTATTTAATGTTCCATTTGTAGGTGAGAAAAAAAGAGGCTTAAAAAGGTGAAATAATGTTTTCAGCACTATACAGGTAATAACAGCGTCTGGAATAAACTCCAAAGTCAAGTTTTTTAACCACTATACAGTGTTTTGCAACAGATTGGATATGGTAATGAGAAAGGAATAAAATAGTGACTCCTTAGATTTTAAGTCTTGGTGACTGGAAGAATGTTGGTAGAGAAATAACTTTTTGAAAGATCCTATTTCAAACATCCACAAAATATATAACAAGGATTTCAAGTAGTATATGGTAAAATTAAATACAAAATAAACTAATTTCATGCTCTAGTCTAGAGGTTTGTTATAATACATAATGATTCTTATGAATTATTTAATAATTCTGTTACTACCCTAGCTGGTTTGGCTCAGCAGATAGAGCGTCGGCCTGCGGACTGAAGGGTTCCAGGTTCGATTCCCGTCAAGGGCATGTACTTGGGTTGCGGGCACATCCCCAGTGGGGGGCGTGCAAGAGGCAGCTGAATCAATGTTTCTCTCTCATCGATGTTTCTAACTCTATCCCTCTCCCTCCCTCTCTGTAAAAAATCAATAAAATAATATTTTTTTAAAAAAAGAATTCTGTTACTGTGATACCTTATGTAATGTATAGTTTATTTTAGCTCTTAAAATCAATATTTTAGTAAAGAAAAGCTTTAAATGGTAAACTAATCTAGCTTTTTCCATTGTTAAAGTTGATTTTTAATAAGGAAATCAACTTGAAAAGTGAGATCACTTTCCTAAACTGGTATATATAAAAGCAATGCCTAGGAGATAGTATACACTTGATAAATATTTAAATAAATGAATTTTAAAAATTGATGCAGTAAGGTTCTATTTAGCTTTCTAACTTATTTTTATTATGGTTTTAAAAGATGCACAGTTTGAAACTGATGAACGAATTACACCCTTGGAATCAGCCCTGATGATTTGGGATTCAATTGAAAAGGAACATGATAAACTTCATGAAGAAATACAAAATTTAATTAAAATTCAGGTATGAGTGTTACTTTCTGTCTATAATTATTATTCTGCTAGAAAAGAAAAACATATCTAAAGAAATTAAGAGTCACTCTAATAGAAGTTGGGCAGTAAACCCAGAGTAAAATTTAATGTAATCATTTTCTTTAGAAATTTGACCTTTGGTTTATAGTCTGGACATGAGCTCTGCGAGCTGGGACTTAAGTCTGCTACATGAGTGTTTATTGCCAAACTTTGGAAAATGTGCCACATCTATTTATAGTCCATCAGGCAACTTTGAAAAACTTGTGATTTGTGCCCTCTCATTCACATATATGTATATATATATTTTAGAAAGTGTCATTGGATAGTTCCAGGAACAATTTTTTAAAAAACATTTTTTTTATTGATTTCAGAGAGGATGGGACAGGGCAAGAGAGATAGAAGCATCAATGATGAGAGAGAATCACTGATCAGCTGCCTCCTGCATTCTCCACACTGGTTGGTGATCAAGCCCACAGCCCAGGCATATGCCCCGAACGGTAATTGGACCATGACCTCCTGGTTCATAGGTCGACACTCAACCACTGAGCCATGCTGGCCAGTGCCCTCTCAATTTTTATTTAAAGATTATAAATGTGAATACATTAGAATATTTCATTTTTTAAAAATCAATGGATTTTTGTTATGAAGAGAACATAAAGTTTCAACTCTGTAAAAATTTTAGGAGTAACCTATTAAAGAGTGATAAGCCAAAAAAGCCACTCAAAGATATAAGAGCAGGAAAAATGTGTTTTGCTAAGAGGAATTTTGTTAGATGAATAATCTTTTCTACATTTAAAATGTTTTACTGTTGAGTAGAAGAGAAAATCCCACCTTCCCAGGAATTAATTTTGATAGTATAGTGACTGTCAAGTAGAATTAAGACTTGATGAGAATGGGCAAAAATGACTGTTTCTTTTAAGAATTTCAACCTAGGGCAAAGAGATTTGTCATGCTTTCCAAATTTTGGGAGTGCTCTAGAAGAAACAGGCCTTTGTTAATATACTATTAAAGTTGAGTGGGTTACCATAAAATATATAGCAAACCTGTAATATATTGCTTACTATTTGCCAGGTATACTATTGTGAGTACTTTCATATATGACTCTGTAACCTTACAACAATTCTGTGAAATAGATACTATTTTTTTCTACCCTTTTACATATAAGGAAAATGAAGCAGCGCCAAGAGGTTAAATAATTTGCCCAAGTTTATAAAGCTACTTAGATAGTAATGGTGGTCCCATATCTTACCACATATGATATCAAAGAAGTCCAGTTTAGCCGAAACCGGTTTGGCTCAGTGGATAGAGCGTCGGCCTAAGGACTGAAAGGTCCCAGGTTCAATTCCGGTCAAGGGCGTGTACCTGGGTTGCGGACACATCCCCAGTAGGAGATGTGCAAGAGGCAGCTGATCGATGTTTCTAACTCTCTGTCTCTCTCCCTTCCTCTCTGTAAAAAATCAATAAAATATATTTTTTTAAAAAAAGGCCAGTTTATAAAATGATTATTAAAAGCATCTAGCTTCCTAGGTTTCTATTAGAGATTTTTCAGGCATCCTCTCTAGCAGATTTTATATTAACTAATTATCATAAATGCCACTGTTTCCCCACATTTAAGTGGATTGTAAATGTACATAACATAGCTTCTAAGTTATTAATACCTGCCTTTAATTTGGCCTGAATTCAAAAATGATAGAAAGTTGCATGTTTATTAGCATACTAAAAAGCCCAGTGCACAAATTTGTGCACCAGTGGGGTCCCTCAGCCTGGCCTGCAGAGATCGGGCTGAAACCAGCTCTCCGACATCCCCTGAGGGGCCCTGGATTGCGAAAGGGCGCAGCCAGGCTAAGGGACCCCACCGGTGCACGATTGGGGCTGGGGAAGGATGTGAGAGGTTGACCAGTGGGGGAGGGACTATGGGGAGGGCTCCAGGGCGTGCCTGGCCCATTTCACTCAGTCCTGATCAGCTGGACCCCAACAGCAAGCTAACCTACCATTCGGAGTGTCTGTCCTCTGGTGGTCAGTGCACATCATAGCGACTATCTTCCAGTCAACTATCTGCCTCCCTGGTGGTCAGTGCATGTCATAGTGAGAGGTTGAGCAGCCTTAGCATATCATTAGCATGTTACTCTTTTATTGGTTGAATGGCTGACCTGTTGACCGGACACTTAGCATATTAGGCTTTTATTATATAGGATATGAAGTTTTTTCATGTCTTTTCAAACCACAGTTATTTTATCTTTGAAAAAGTATTTTATATAATTTATCAAATCAAAATTATTAAACTCCAAAAAATAATATTGTTAAACTACATAAAAATATTTTAAATGAAGTCGTTCAGACTTCTCTGAGTTATTTCAATATTAAACAACAATTATTTTACAAAGCAGTCTTAAGTATGCATTTGTCTTTTTTTAGGCTATAGCTGTTTGTATGGAAAGTGGCAATTTTAAGGAAGCAGAAGAAGTCTTTGAAAGAATATTTGGTGACTCAGATTCTGATACGGTAATTGTTTAAATTAGAATCAGAATTGTAGAACTGTTTATATGGCATGAGGGAAATGGGGAGAACATGGAAGGAGAAAGGAATGATGAACAGTATAGAACAGTGCTGTCCAGTAGAAATACAGTACAAGTCCAATATGTGATTTTTACATTTTCTAGTAGCCACATAAAAAAGGTTAAAAGAAACAAGTGAAACTAATTTTAATAACATTTTATTTAACCCAATATGTTAAAAAAATACATTGTTTTTAACATCTAATCAGTATAAGAATGTATTGATGAAATATTTTGCTTTCCTTTTTTGTACTAAGTCTTCGAAACCTGGCGTATATTTTATACTTTTGTCATACATTTTAATATAAGAGAATCATTGATAGGATGCCTCCGCACTCCCCCTACTGGGGATGGAGCCCGCAACCCGGGCACGTACCCTGACTTGAAATGAAACCTACTAAGCCTCCTGATTCATAGGTCGACACTCAACCGGCAAACCACACTGGCTGAGTTGGAGTCATACATTTTAAGGGTTTAGTAGCCATGAGTGGCTAGTGGCTACTATATTGGGCATTGCAGGATGGAAGAAGAAGGCATTATAACTTGCTTATTTTTCTGTAAGTTTCTTATATGTTCATTAGTTGTTAAGGTCAAAGATTAAAAGCAAAGTGCTATTGGAGTAAATTAAGCTTATTCAAAGAAAAAATAGTTTTATATGTTTTCTGTAAACTTTTTATTAATAACATACCTCTAGCATAGTGCATGTATCATAAATGTGTAAGTAGGTGTGTTTTCACAAAAGGAGCAGCACATTTGTGTGATGAGCCCCTAGACCCGTGGTCGGCAAACCGCGGCTCGAGAGCCACATGTGGCTCTTTGGCCCCTTGAGTGTGGCTCTTCCACAAAATACCACGTGGGGGCGCGCACATACAGTGCGATTGAAACTTCGTGGCCCATGCGCAGAAGTTGGTATTTTGTGGAAGAACCGGTATTTTGTGGAAGAGCCACACTCAAGGGGCCAAAGAGCCACATGTGGCTCGCAGCCGCGGTTTGTGGAGCTGCAGTTTGCCGACCACTGCGCCTAGACCTAGACCATTAATCAGAAGACTACCAGCACCCCCACCCTCCAGTCACTGTCCTTCCCACCTTCTCAAGGGCAACCACTGGTCTGACTTGTAACATCCAAGATCAATTTTACTTGTTTCTGAGCTTGCTATACAAGTTTATATATATATTAATATTGATCCATGATGTTGCTTATAACAATAGTTCATTCTTGTTGCTTTATTGTAGGAATATACTATAACATTCTACTGTTGATGGACATTTGAAGTCATTTTCAGTTTGGGGCTATTACATTCCTTTATACTTGTCTTTTGTAGTACATATACCAGGTGTCCCAAAGAAATATTTACACACTTTAATAGCTGATAACTCACCGTAATTTTCAATCTTTTTCAGGTTTAACTGATTTGAAATAATAGGTGAAGCCAGACTAAGCTTTGAACAAAGAAAATTTATCCTAAAGTGCCAGTAGACTTTTTTTATGGGGATACATAAAAGATAAAACCGGCAACAGTCAGCTAATTGGAGGCACACAAATGCCGAAAGAAATAATTCTTTTTTGTTGTTTTTGTTAATCCTCATCTGAGGATTTCTTTTTTCCTATTGATTTTTAGAGGGGACGAGAGGGGGAGAGACAGAGAGAGAGAAACAACGATGTGAGAGAGACATATCTATTGGTTGCCTCCTGCATACTGGGCATTGAGCCTGTAACCGTAGAGGTATGTGCCCTTGATCACAATCAAACCTGAGACCCTTGAGTCCACGGGCCAACGCTCTAACCACTGATCAACTGGCTAAGGTGAAATGATTCTTGATGTTTGCAATTCCACTGCTTCGCATTATCAGCAGTGCCTGAACTAGAACGGTCATCAGTTTGGAAACAGGCACAAAACAGTATTCATTTCTACAGATTCTTTTAAATTTTGTATGTTAAAAAACTCTGACTTTATAATCATTCAAAGTGTATATACATTTTTTGGGACACCTTGTATGTGTTTTTATTGGCATGTACTTAGGAATAGAATTGATGGGTTACATGATATGAACATATTCATTCAGTTTTGGTAGATGCTTGTGGGGGGCCTGTTTCTCTCTTCTCCACGTCCCGCATGGAAAAGGAAACAGTCCATTCGCTGAGTGGAGGAGCTGGGGATTAAGAAATTAAAGAAAGACCAAGACGCAGAAATAGAGTTTAAGCTGGGGCCAGGTGGGCGCCATCCTCTCTGATGGAGAGGCGGCAAAAAGCGGGCTGAGAACACAGCAGGTTTATTTTAAAGGCCTAGATTTACATATCTAGTTCCACCCCTGCCTGATTAACATGTCCAGCCTTATTGAGGAAGCATGTTCCCAGGGCGTGGCTCTGCCTATGCTCTGAGTTCAGCTGACAATTTTAAGAAAATACCTAGGTGCCTCCCACGCGGCCCTCTACAGATGCTGCCAAATAGTTTTCCAAAATAGTTACATTAATATTATGTCAGTTTCTCTAGTGCTGTCGGAGAGTGAGAGAGTGGAAGGGAGGGGGAGATACAGAGAGACACATTGATTGGTTGCCTCCCACACACACCCCGACCAGGGCCAGGGATCAAGCCTGCAACCAAGGTACATGCCCTTGACTGGAATCAAACCCAGGACCCTTCAGTCCGTGGGCCAACGCTCTATTCACTGAGCAAAACTGGCTAGGGGCACATTGTGTTTTAACTTGTTTTCCTGATGACTAATGCAAGTGAGCATCTTTTCATTTACTGGTACAAATATAGAGTTGTGGGGTGATGACTTTAATCCTTTGAGGGACTAAGCCAAGTTGAAAGTCAGTTATAGTTTTAGTATGGCTCCATCTATGTCTAATTTCCTCCTGTTCCTGGGGTATAACACTCCAGATTTCAGCAGAAAGCCTAATACATTTATTGGGTTCCCTGCCCTTACTTATAAACAGGGCTGTGACTGTACAGATGATGTCTTAGTTCTTAAATTTGGTAATGGACATTCAGGTTTGTAATCTTTTTAAAGTTCTTTTGTAAGTGTGTGAAATATAAGGTGTTTCTTTAAGTCAGGAAAAATAAATTGGTGGGCGATTTAAAACATGAGAATCTTAAAAATCTCTTAATTGTAGGTCTTTGAGTTTATATTTACAAAATGATCTTTTTAATTTATGACAAAATTTCTATTTATGTTATTTGATTTATGGGTTAATGTTTCTTCTCTTTTCTCTAGTCTTTACAAAGAAAATTGCTTATGGTAATCTCTCAGAAAGATACATTTCATTCTTTTTTCCAACACTTCAGCTACAGCCATATGATGGAGAAAATTAAGAGTTTTGTGAATTATGTACTTGATGAAAAATCATCAACATTTCTAATGAAGGTATGCATGTATTCAGAAAGACTGGTAGATTTAGGAGAAATTGATATAATAAAGAAGAATACTTGAAATAGAAATCCTTTAAAAGCAAGTCAGAATTTTGTTTCGTGATTTTTTTGTAAAAGAATGTGGCAAAATGTTACAATTAGTGAATGTAAAGGGTTTTTTGGTGGTTTTTATAGTATTTTTATAACTTTTCAAAATAAGAGTTGAAATTTTTCAAAATAAAAAGTTAGAGGGAAAACTTAGAATGAGTTAAGAAATAAGCAAAAATATTTAGTTTCAATTTAAATTTTACTGAAAGTTTTTGCATATTTTTGGGAAAAGTAAAGTAACATTTTTATCTTCAAATTTCCAAGAGAACATCGGAGGTGTAACATATGTTTACAAGGAAAGACCTGCATAATGCTTACAAACCAAGCAGATAGCTGAAATAGCTGCTCATATGTCACAGCTACAGCATAGTGCCCTTGATTGGCCTGTGAATAGATATTTTGGTTATGACTATCAAAGAATTAGAAGCTTTAATTTAATGCTCTTTTTTAAAATGGCTTAATGCATTCCTTTCTTTCTCCAAACCTTTTTTTAAGGCAGCAGCAAAAGTAGTAGAAAGTAAAAGAGCAAGAACAACAGTTTCTCAAGATAATGATGTTGACATGGAAACTGAAGCTAATTTGGAAGTATGCAAAAGGTTTGTAAATCTGTTTACATATTTTTTGTCTTCTGATGCAGTCTTTTTATGTAAAAGTGGTACTAGTGAGCCATTATTTTTTTTTTAATATATTTTTTATTGATTAAGATATTACATGTGTGTCCCTGTCCCTGCATCACCCTCCACCCCCCTCCCCCCCGTTGTCCGTGTCCATTGGTCAGGCCTCTATTCCTGCATGTAAGTCCTTTGGTTGCTCTTTCCCCTTTACCCTCCCCTCCCCTCCCCTCCCTCCCCCCCCC